TAGCTGCCCCAGGCCATTACCCTTGCCCCTTCCACCTTATTTTTGGCCATTAATTGATCCAAGAAGCAATAGTTTTCTGTGAGTCAGCTTTTACTTCATAACAAACAGCACTAAGACATACAACAGTATGCATTTATCTCCAAATCACAGGTATGCAACTTGGTTGGGCTCGATCACCTCTACATGCTTCATTGTGGGTCACAGGACCCAGAAGGAACAGCTATGTGGTAGTTTTAAAATATGTTTACAAATTCTTTGATGCTCCTTTGAAGAGATGGAGCTTAATTTTCTGCTTCTTGAGTATGGACTGTAATTAGTGACTCACTGGCAACCGATAAAATAAGATGGAAGTGGCAGTGTGTGACTTTTGACCAGGTCATAAAAGACATTTTTGTAGCCTCCTCCTTGCTCTGTGTTGAACTGCATGCTTGTGAGGAAGCCAGCCACCATCTTGGTAAGGATACTTACACCTATGGAGAGTCCCATGTGGTGAGAAATTGGGGCCTCCTGCTAATAGCTATGTGAATAAGACCTCTTGAAAGTGGATCCTTTAGACCTAGTCAAGCCTCACTTGACTACAGATAAGGCCAACATCTTGACTGTAGCTCCATGGAAGATGCAGAGTCAGAAGCACTCAGTTAAGCTCCTCCAACATTTCTGGGCCCCAGAAACTATACGATAATAAATGTTTCTTGTTTTAAGCTACTAAGTTTTGTGATAATTTAGTAGGCAGTATTAGCTAATGAACAAGCTGCTACCAGAGGCTTATTCTCCTCATGTTGAAAGACATTGGTGTAAGTAGCCCAACTCAGTTGTGCAAGTACATTTCAAGCCTCTACTCTTGTCCCATCTGCAAATGTCCACTATCCAAAAGCACAGTATTTTGGTCAAACTCAACATCAATGGGCAGGGAAGTACTTCTCTACAGGAGGCTATGGTCACTTGATGACATCAGGTTCAAATCTTCAGAAATTTATAAGGAAGAAGAGTCTTTGCAGATGTGATTAAGAATTTTGACATAATGAAACTATCTTGGATTTAGGCCCAGTTGGGCCTAAATGCCATCACAGGTGGCATTCTCTTTATAAGAAGAAGGTAGGGGTGCCAATGCAAACTGGTACAGCCAATCTGGAAAACAGTATGGAGCTTCCTCAAAAAGTTGAAAATAGAACTACCCTACAATTCAGCAATTGCACTACTAGTTATTTACCCAAAGAATACAAAAATACTAATTCAACGGGATACATGAACCCTGACATTTATTGCAGCACTATCAACAATAGCCAAGAGCCAAATTATGGAAAGAGCCCAGATGTCATCGACTGATGAATGGATAAATAAGAAATAGTACACACACACACACACACACACACACACACACACACACACTAGAATATTTCTTAGCTATCAAAAAGAATGAAATCTTGCCATTTGCAATAACATGGATGGAGCTAGAGAGTAGTATGCTAAGCAAAATAAATCAGGCAGAGAAAGACAAATACCATATGATTTCACTCATATGTGGAATTTAAGAAACCAAACAAATGAACATTGTCGGGGAATAGAGAGGCAAACCAAGAAACAGACACATAACTATAGAAAACAAATTGATGGTTACCAGAGGGGAGGTGGATGGGGAGATGGTTAAATAGGTGATGGGGATTAAGGAGTGCACTTGTTGTGATGAGCAACAGGTATTTTATTTAAGTGCTAATTAAATAAACTGAAACTAATATTACACTGTATGTTAACTAACTGGAATTTAAATAAAAACTTGGAAGAAAAAGAAGAGAGAGAAACACAAGGGGAGATCTAACAAACACATAGAAAAGAAGCTGATGAAGTTGCAGGCAGAGGCTAGAGCCTTGTGGCCACAAGCCAAGGAACGCCAAAGCATGCTGGTAGCCATCAGAAGAAAGAAGAGGCAAACAATGGATTCTCTCCTAGAATCTCTGACACCTTCCTTTTGGACGTCTGACCTCCAGAATTGTGACAGAATAAATTTCTGATTTTTTTGAGCCACCAAGTTTTTGGTAACTTTCTACAATAGCCCTAGGAAACTAATACGTCCTCTGATAAGGTGGAGGGAAGAGTTGTATACTGGCTGAAAAATCATCTAATTTACTTTAGCATCACTTCAAAAGATAACCAGACAATAAAAAGACTATGTATTGATACTACCAAAATAAATGAACAAATAAACACATAAATAAGCAAATGAATACATAGATGAGAAAAATGAATTCATATCAAAGATGAATTATCCATGAAAGCAGTAGAAAATGTCAAAATTTTTCTTCTCAACACTTTCTAAGAAACCAAAGTAAAAAGATCTAAAAATAATACAATGTAAGAGAAGAGAAAATAGAGAAAATTAAGGTGAGCTCTTTAGATTTAGGGGGAAAATGGAGGATAGATGGAACAAGGAATAAGTGCTGTGTTAGAACAGGCATACGGAAGATATGGGGGAAAAACACAAAAAATGCGATTTTTAAAAATCAAAGATAAATATATAAAAGAAAAGATGAAATCCATTTTATATACAATTAGTGTTTCTGAAGAAGCTACTGTTACAAACATAATAGGAAAAATTCCCAAGAAGGAAATTATACTGAAAGACATGTCAGTTTATAATTGAAAGGACATTATGTATTTTTAGAACAATTTATATAACATGTTTCATACTGGAAAATATTGCAGTTCAAAGTCAATGTGATCTTGGCTTTTCTTTTTTGATTTTACCTATTCATAATAAATATGAAGAAATCTTCAAATATGTCATGATGCCTATAAGAAATTATTATTGATAAATCAAGTAAAGTAACTCAAGAGATGGATATCTAAGGTTCTCTTCAACTCCGTGATTCCATTGACCTTAGTCTGAGCCATCCTTCTCATCAAGTTTGCATAAAAACAATTTCAGAAGCCAGCTGTAATTGGCACTCATGTGCATCTGTTAATGTATTCATAAAATGCACTGGAGTCAATAATTGTTACCTCTATAGAAGTCAACTTTTTAAGTGTATTGTCACTTCTTTATATACTATAACAAGCATTTGGCAAACAAATCAACTGGCATAACATTAGCTTTCTGTATGTTATACATACATACAACAACATATGACTACATATCAATGAGTTGTTTTTTTTAATACTGGGAGCAATGGCTTCACCAAATGGCTTTTCAGATATTCATGTGCCATGCAATTTGTTACAATGATCCAATAAATGTACTAATTATGTACTCATTGTGTATATTTTGTATATTTTTGGTAAATTGGAAAACATTACAGATTAGCCGCAAATTTGTCTATCTTCTTTTTTTCTTTTTTGTTAAATGCTTCAAGTTCTTTTTTAAATTCCAGTTAGTTAACATATAGTGTACTTTTAGTTTCAGGAGTAGAATTTAGTGATTTGTCACTTACATATAACACCCAGTGCTCATCACAAGTGCCCTCCTTAATACCCATCACCGATTTAGCCCATCCCCCCACCAACTCCCCTCCAGCAACCTGTTTGTTCTCTATAGAGTCTCTTCTATAGCTTTTTAAAAATAATGTCATGACAAAAAAATGCTCTGTGTTTTATCAAAGAGAAATATATGTATGATTTATTGGTTTTTTTTTGGAATTAAATGGATATCCATAGGAAAATGATTTAATAGGCAAATGTCAATTCTTCACTACTTCTTCTAGAATGTGTATAATGGCGACATGAGTTATAGAAAATATACCCATTTTCACTTGAGACATTTTCAGTATAATGGGGGTGGTTGACACTAACAAATTTTCTGTTTACAAAAGCATACTTTTCCAAAGGTAAAAAGTGATGTAAAAGTGTCCGAGGGATGCAGCACCTGCCCTTTGTATCAAATGGCACAAGAAACTGGGACTGTGTTTTCTTAGTCTCTTTTTCTCATAGGGCTGGGCAGGGACCTTGCACTTTGGCTGATAGTAAGTGTTGAGTGGTTAAATGAATGTTCAGACACTAATTCCTGCAGGTAAAGCAGGATATAGTGCTTTATAGTATAGATAGTATATACTACTATAGTATATATAGTATATATACTATATAGTATAGATAGTATATACTACACTTAAGGCCAACATATACCCAGAGACCATTTATGCTTTTCACGGGTAACTAGAGTAATGCACACTTTTCTGAGAGAAGACCATGACTAAAGTTTGCCATTACTCCATTTCTCCTGTTTCTTTGGTGACAACCTATAGGCTAAAATTACTTGAAGTCTTTCTAGAAGCTCTCATAGCATGGAATTGCTGGTTTGCTTGACAGAATAGTCCAATCCTGTGCATAAGAGAATCTGAATCCTTAGGAAGTTCTTCCTAATACCTCAACTAAATTCTTGATTCAAGTAGTCCCCACATTTTAATACTACATTCCTTAGAAATGAAAAATGAACATGTACTATCTGCCTCCGTACTCCTACATTACAACACACACACATTCAATCCCATAGTTTCTAGCAAAGTTCTATCTCAAGCATCCCAGACAAATTGGATTATTAAAAAAAGCTGTGTAGAATAAATACAATTTCACTGTGTCAAGAGGTTTTCTCTTATTCTAATGTAAGTTTCTTTTGTTGCTGTTTTGTAGTGGCAGGAAACCGGACTGGAAAACCTCTTAAATGCATCTCAACTTCATGATTTCAAATTTTATAGTATTTTGTCTACATAACATAACTTCTGAAATAGGTACTTACTTTTATTTCCCCAAATGAACCAGATTCTCTCAGTGACTTCTGGGATTAAATTATGGAGTCTGGGGGAAGCTCTAAAGATGTGAGGGGTTGTATATATATTTGTTTATTCTTCAACTACAGAAAACTATTCTTTATGCCTAGTCAGCTGAACCAGGCTAAAGTTATTTTCCTTAAAATGCATATATTAAGACAAAGTTTTATAACGTTGTTTTAAAAATTGCTACATATTAGAAAAGTCCCCAATTTAACCATACTGTTATATAATTACTTTCTACAGGACACCATGATAAAAAATCGTACCAATTGCCCGAATAATGAACCTAACGTTTTTAAAAAACATGCATGTGATGATAATAAGGTAATAATAATTACTTGGAATTTATGTCATTCAAATTTGACTTTATAGAAGCTTATATTATTTGTATGTCTGTTAGAGATAAATATATTGCTTATATTCATATCATATTCTTTTGGTTCTCACCAGACAGTTCCCATTGACCTATTAGGTTATACTGTGGTCTTCTTTTGTAATTATTTTACAAAGATCCCTATTCTTATTTGGTAAATAATTTTTTTCTATTTTAGCATTTCTATTTTCACTTTGAAACTGTTAGAAGAGCTGATGAATTCAAAGACATACATATCCCTTATTTCTGAAATTCTTCTGCAGCAAAATATTTGTTAGAGTGATTGCTTACATATTCACAAACATGTCATGATGATAATTTACTTCTAGGGCTTTGAAATTTTTTCTTTCAATATTTGTTTATCTTCAAACAACTACTACCTCTGGTTGGTGGAATATTACAACTTACAAACCTTACAACAAAAGTCTGTGTCATTTCCTTCTACAGAAAATAGTATGTGTTATTTCCATCTACAGAAACCAGTATGATATTCAAGTCTTTTTTAAATTCACAGTAACCAAGTTAACCTCATAGTATCTCATAGTGTATTCATAAATTCTTTTAATTTTAATTTCTTTAAATATTTGAAAGACTTGTTTGAAGTGAATATGGACCTTTATTTTCTTATTGCCAGCTATTCATCCATAGCTCAAAAGGTACAAAAATAATAAGAGAAACCACATACCTTTCATTACTGTTGCCTCCAGAAACCCTCTCCTTTGGTTATCTCATTTAAAATTGAATAATCTTATTATATGCTCACTCATAAGTGATGAGATCATAAATGTATATTATAAAGAAAGGAGACTTTAAAAAGTCAAATAATCATTAAACCAAATTCTAGGGACTTCAGACTGTCACTTAGGAGCTACACAGTTTTAGTCTAGTTATTTGTCAGTCATGTGATTAACTGGAATGGAAATCTGGGGTGGAGGTGAGGCATTATTTGGCAGCACAGCTCTGGCTTTAGGCTCCTTACGAAAGCTTATCATTTCTTCATATTTTATTTGAACCACAACACTTCTGATTTTTTTTCTATAATAGGAAGCTGTGTTTTTATATCGTGCTGCTCACAAGTTGAAGCACTTTGTCAAAGTGAATAACAGTGAGGAATTCAATCTCCACTTATCAAGAGTTTCACAGGGCATGTTACAGTTGTTGAACTGTACCCCCAAGGTAAGTTGTTTACTTTGAACAGAAATACAAACTAGTCCTCTGATAGGGTGCTATAATTCTCTTATGGATGTATCTATTATCTTAGAATTCTAAGTGCTTATTATTACCTGAGGTTTAAGTACATTTACTCAACTCTAGTAGAGGAAAATCTTACCAATTCTTAGCTGGGCAAATAGTTTATGAAAGAAGAGTAAAAATAAATGACTGCATACCTCATTTCTATAATAACTTTCCAAGAGGCTAATGTGATAAATTTTTACCTCTAAAACACATTAATAATTTTAATCTGTATATGTACACATTTATAAGAACTCATAGCCAATAAAAGAGATTATCTAATGTATTTAACAAATATCTTCACATGTTAAAACTGGACATATATATATGTCCAACAATTTTTTTTATTTTTTTAAATAATTTTGATAAGTATATAGGGCTAATTTTCCCCTACTTGTCTGCGAGTGGTTATTAAATATAAACAGCAAAACAAAATTTGGAAGACACTATCTTGACACTAGGCAACTGTTTCTTCATGTGCAAAATGGAGAAAAAAATAGTTATCTGTTATAGGAGGTTGAAAGGATTAAATGGCATAATTCATGTAAAGTGCTTAGTACTAAAAAAAGTTTCAACAAATATATTATTACCATTGCCCCCCCTTGAGGAATTTTACCAGCTGTGAGAGAAAGCCAAAAAGTTTCTTATGCTTTTTTAAAAAGACATTTTTAACATTTTCATGATAGGGAAAGGGTCATGTGCATTTCTATTTTTTAATACCAGTAGTTGCCCACAGAAGGTGAAATGGTAAAATTATCTTTGAGCCCTATTGACAGTGATGAAAATAAAAACAATGGAATTTGAACTTCATTTATCATTACATTATCTACCTGATGCAAGCCAGTCTCCTCTTGGTGTCCTGGATTTACCAAGCTTATTTCCAATTTTTTCCCCTTACTTATGTTAGTCCTTTATGTGGAATTTCTACTGTCCTTTTTTCTATAACTTTGGACTATCCTGTTCTATGCATCCATCAAGGCCAAGCTTACATCTTTTGAAGGCATATACTCCAGGCGACTGCCTTTTAATCCTTATTTAGAGTGATTTCAAAGCACTGTCTAATGGAGGAATGGCAGATAGGCTTCTTATTGCTTATACATCCAGTTGCTTAATAGTGACTATTGTTGGAAAAGTTATATTGAACATAAAGTCTCAAATCAGGGCTGAACTGAGAAGTCTGCAGACAAAACTGGTGATATCAACTCTTGGCTTAGGAAGCAGTAAGGGTTAGAGGTATGCTATATATTTGCAATTCCTTCTCTCATGTGTTGAAAGTTGCATGGAATACTATGTTCCAAAATCAACTAATTGTAGAACAAAATACACAAATAATTTCTATCTTGAAATTAAATTAAATTCTTACAAAGTTAACTAACCTGATACAGCCCACCTTTTTCTTGAAATTATAAGGCAAAATGTTAAATTTTGAATTTAGCTACAGTGAATTTCCTTCATGAGTCAAGCATGTTATAAGCTTTTATTGTTATTTAATTCATTTTGCTTCCAATGGATAAAGCTTATTAAAATTTATGGTCAGGATTTAATAAATTAATGCTAACTTTATTTTCATGTTGATTAAAATTCTACTTTTGTCCCGGTTAGTATACCCTTCTATATTAGTTTTTATATCTCACAGGCATTAACATAGTGCTGGACATGGGAATGCCATGGGAATTCAACTTTTAAAGTGGATCCCCTGAGTGATTGCGATGGAATTAAGAGACATTTCAAAATAGCTACCAAGGGTGGGGAGATCTTGGAAAGGAGACACAAATAGCACTGAAATAATCAGTTCTGTGTTTCATGGTGGCAGAGCTTGATTGGGGTCAGCAAAGATGGGGCTTGGAAGTAGGATTCTTATTTGTCCTTTACCCTGACACAAATTCTCCAGATATGTTATTTTTAACAACCCTTATTTAGTGCTAAGAGAGTACCAGGCACTGCTCTAGGTATTATATATATATATTACCTCAGACTTTACAAAAATCCTGCAAGTATGTACCATTAAGAAACTACAACACATAAAAAGTTAGAAACATTCCCAAGGTCACAGATTGGTATGAGGTACATCTGGGATTCAATTTAGCTGGTGTGGTTTGACGCTATGATCTCTCACGCCACCACACTGCCTCAACTGTAGTCCGATTTTACGGCCAAATTCTGTGAATGAATTGGGAAATAGACACAGAAGGCAGATATGAATTAAAAGTGGGGCTTTATTGCCAGAGAAGCTGGATTGAAGAACATGGCTTAGACCTGAAGTCAAAGTGAGGACTCTGAACACTTCCCCAGGAGTCTAGCCCTGTATGCAGCAGGAGTCCAAAAGGCTCCCCAGTTGGAGAGAGAGCAGCAGGAGTCCAAAAGGCTCCCCAGTTGGAGAGAGAACCTGAACTGACAAGTGCAAAGAGAAAGCCCAGCCCAGACTGTGCATTTTGGCATTATTTCCTAGAACTTACCCCTCAATAAAGCACACCCCATCCTTTGCTAGGTGTGATGCCTTCAGAATTGATATTCCTAGTAAGTCAAGTAGGAGTACTATCATTTATTAAGCACTATGTATCTAGCCCTCTCTATAACCCTAGGAGAGGTGGTCATATTGCCATTATAGAGATGAGGACACTGAGCTTCAAAATATTTAATTTCCCCAGGGATATACAGCTAGTAAAAGAACAAATTGGGATTCAAACCCCTATCTGTCTGAATATCTTGCTCTGATCCACACCTAAAGAACCTCTTTGCCTTTTTCAGAATCCCATTTTGAGGGTCAATGTAGTGATTGAGTTCAGATTATATTCAACATTAAATTAGAAAGAGAATGCATTCTGGATAGACTGAAAAGGACATTTGTAATTCAGACTGAATATGTCCAGAAGGGGAAGGGAAGTAGGTATGGGGTAGGAAATATCTTACCCTTGAGATTGCTGTATACCCTAAACATGAGGCATGCTCTCCAGACAAACCTCTTTCAGCTGACTCAAAGGTAACCAATGCAGGAAATGATTACTGCCTTGTCTAGCTGCTGATTCAAGTGTAGTTTCTATCTCCCTTCTAGACCAGTAGTGAAGCCTCTGGAGTCAGACTCTGGATTCAAATCTCAACTGTACTATTGACTGATGGCATGAGATTTATTTTTATTTATTTTTATTTTTTTTTAAGGTTTTATTTATTTTTGAGACAGAGAGAGACAGAGCATGAAGGGGGAGGGGCAGAGAGAGAGGGAGACACAGAATCGGAAGCAGGCTCCAGGCTCTGAGCCATCAGCCCAGAGCCTGAGGCGGGGCTTGAACTCACGGACTGCGAGATCGTGACCTGAGCTGAAGTCGGACGCTTAACCGACTGAGCCACCCAGGCGCTCCTGGAATGAGCTTTAAAAAGTTACTTCTTTGAATCCCTGTTTCCTCAGTTCTGCATTAAGACTAATAGAAGTAGCTACCTCTGTTATATGAGAATTAAATATGATTATATAATATGCTTTAAAAAGTGTTTGCCACATAACAAGATTCAGTGAGCAATACAGCACCACCAGTGGAGGCTGGAGCCACTTACACCAAACCCTGCCCCCCTGTATCCTGCAGGGGCATCTTTATTAGGACAGGTCTGTGAGCAAGCACAGCAGGTCTCTTCCCCAGAGGACCAACACAGACACCCCGCATGCAGCAGGTCTACTGATCATAGAGTGCTCCAAAGTTTCTGCTTCGGTTCTGGTGGAAATAGGACTGGGCTTTTTTTTTTTTTT